GCGCGCAGGAGAAGATCTCTGGTGAGGACAAAAAAAAAGGCTGAGATAGCAGACCTGCTGCTGTGAATAGGAACAACAGAGGATACGAATTGTAACAGTGTAACAATAAACAGAGAAGACTAACAGCTCCTCAGGATGAACCGATTAATAACAATAAAATCAGCAGTTATGAACTTGTGACTAATAATAAATATCTCACACTGCGACTGCATGCAGGCAGGTGTGAACTCAAAAGTGAGGCTCCATGAAACAAATAATCATTCTGTCAGAACCCTGAGAACAGAATGGGTCATGGAGAAAGTAGAAATATCACGTAGATAAAAAATTAACTGAGCATGGCGATGACCAGGCAGCCGCCATACAAATATTCTACACTGACTGTCATCCCTCCCTGCAGAGCCCTGGAGGATGAAAACGCTCTGGTTGAATGCGCTGAGATTCCCTGGAGGATCCAGTCCAGATGAACTGTAAACTTCCGAGCTAGTGGACTTGACACCAGTCTGTGTCTCCGTACACCTTTCAGGAAATGTTTCATCAACGGGTGATTAAGAACTGTTCTGTCACCGAAGCCCTCGTGACAGGAAGCAATAGCTGCAGCAAAAGTTTTAATTGTGCTGAGCGCTAGCTCTCTGTCCATCAGCCGCTGCAGAAAAGACAGCATGCCACCTAGTGGCCATGGGATGGCCTCTACAACTTTCTCTGTGCACCAGCGCTGAAAAACTGTCTACATGATGTGTACAACGTTGTGGTGGAAGCAGCTCGTGCGCCCTGAACGTACGCACCACATCCTGTGGGAGGCCCATCTTTTCTAAACGGATCTGTTCAGCGGACAGACCCAAAGATGCTGACCTATTTCTGGGTAACTCCTGATCGCTCTTCCTGCCTGGAGGAGAGCGCCCTCCCACAGCAGTTTCCACGGCTGACCTGATATCAGTCGTTGCAGATTCGGGAACCACGGAGCGTATATGTGTTCAGGGGCTACGAGGATGACTGACGGTATTTCCACTTGGACCCGGTCCAGGGTCCGTGATATCGGCAGGACTGGAGGGAACGCATAAAGGAGCATTTTTGGCCACGGGCTGTGAGCAAAGGCATCCTCTCCTATCGGTGGGTCGTCTTGTGGGCTCAGTGAGAACAATAATTGACACTGAGCATTCTCCCGTGTGGTGGACAGATCCACTGCTGCTCGGCCAAAATCTGCTCCAAATCCGAGAAATCAGCTCGGGATGGGGGCTCCAGTCTCTGTGGCGGGAACTGCCCCTCGACATGATATCCGCTCGCCTGTTCAGGACGCTGGGAAAGTACACTGCTCTGATGGAGAGCAGGTTTCTGTGTGGCCAACACAACAGCTGTTTCGCGATGCGTAACAGTTAGGCTGAGCGCATGTCTCCCTGACAGTTTATGTAAACTGCCATCACCTTCTTGTCTGTGTGGATCAGAAAATGCTGATCCCGCAGCAGAGGCAAAATGCTGAGTCACATTTCAGACCGTGAAAAACATTCTAGCACATTATGTAAAGCGACATGTGGTCCAGCCACTGTGCTCCCACTGCTTGGGACAGACACATTCCTCCCAGCTTGACAGGAACGCATCTGTGAAAAACTGAGAAGTGTGACGTAGGCCTGCTGATGGGAACTCCCTCTGACAGAATGAGAGGGTTTTCCCCAGTGATTCAGATCGGTTCCCATGGTGGTGGTGGGGGGGGGGGGGGGGGAAAAAAAAAACCCCCCTTCTTGCGCAGAGGAGCTATGTGCAGGCGGGTGAACCATCTCTGAAGGCGTCTCATGTGAAGCAGGCCCAGCGGAACCACGATGTGGGCCATTGTCATTGTCCCGGGTGTCGCATGACAGGCAGACTGTCACTTTGCTGCAGGGTTTGACATGGCGGAGCTGGGTTTGACACGACGAAGCTGAGCTGACAGAGCTTCGGCTCTCAGCTGTGATAAACGGCTCTCATTGTATTTGAGTTTAGCTCCACTTCAAGATAAACCATCATCTGGGGTGGACGAACGGAAGTTTTTCCCAGTTTATAGAAACCCCAGGTTTAGCAAGTGTAACACTAGCATTTTGGTATGTGCGACAGCTTTCTAACTGGACCGAGCTAAGAAGAGCAGATCGTCCAAATAAAAATATTTCTCATTCCTGCCATGTGTAACGACTGCAGAGCTGTCTCCACGCATTTCAAGAACATGCGTGGGGTGTTTCAGAATGATGGAAATGTGAAAATATGCGCTCTTCAGATCTATGGAGGTGAAAACCAGTCGTTCTGGTGAAGTTCTCCAGCAGCTGTTTGTCAGCATGTGGAATTGTCTCTCCATGATCGAATTGCTGAACATGAAAAGGTCGAGAATGGGCCTCATCCCTCCGGTTTTTTATCAGAACCAGGAAGTAGTGGGAGGAAAAAAACTCGTATTTTCCTCTCCGTTGGGAACTCTGGAAATCACTTTTTTTTCGTCAGAAATTCCTGAACTTCTGACTGGAGAGATGAGCTCTGTTCTGAAGAAGACAGAACCGTCTCTATAATCCCTCTGAACGGTGGGGGTTGAGTTGCGAACTGCAGCGTGTAACCCCTTCTGATCAGATGGTCTGTCCATCTGTCCAGGGAACACACTCGTTGCCACTCTGAGTAGCGCTCGGAGAGCAAGCACGCATTTGTGTTGTGTCATGTTTCTCATGAACGTCAACCAGACTAAAAAATGCTTACTGCCATCACTCGCTCCGGAGATTCTCCGGGGGAGCCCAAGGGGGGCTTCGACAGAAAAAAGGGCTATATGTGTGCCTCTATGCTGGGCCCAGGCTGCAGTCTCACATAGAGCTGAGGTGAGCTGGTGCGTACCGAGAGGAGGTCTGAGCGCTTTCTGAGTGAGACGCCGTTTCGGTGGAGGCTGCAGCTGTCGTGGAGAAACACGTTTACTCCCACTGCGCTGTGAGTGGGCAGAAAACAGCAGAGATTAAAAACGGGCTCTGGCTGAAAACGAGGGATTTTACCGGACTCGGTTTGCTGAAAAAGCATAATTTTAGCTGACGTGGCAGACAAGTGTTTTGTGATATTTACTGAACTGTGGTGCCATTTAAAATGCTGTTTAGAGGTTACTGGCTCGTTCTGTGTGGGGAATGTTTGAAGAGAGGCAGCTGAGAGATCAGCTGATCTGACAGTCTCAGATGAAAAACTTTACTTTCAGAGGTGTTTCTGTTTTATATCAAAAACATACATCATCAAAAAACACATACCTTCCCCTCAAGGATCTGTTGCCTGGTGGAGGGGGCCAGCGGAGGAACAGGGCGTGAAGTTGCTGTCGCAGCTGTGGAGCACCTCTGGTGCTGTTGCTGGCCAAGGCGGTCCCTCCAGCGGCCGGAGGGGCAGATGGACTGTGACGTCACTAGATGGTGTACAGTCTCTGAGACCTCCTCGGACCTCTGCAATTTCTCAAGGATGGTCCCGAAGTTGGCCCCGAACAGCGCCTCTGGGGTGATGGGGCCCTCCAGCAGGTATTTCTGCAGCCTCTCGGACAAGGATGGCGAGAGGCGGAGCCAAGTGGTCCTCTGGATCATGGTCATCCAGGTCACGATGCGGGACAGGCAGACCGCAGAGGTGGCACATGTTTAAGGTGACATCAGCAGCTTTACAGAGAGAGCTCTTTGTCTCCTCCAGCAGGTCTGCTTTTTCCAGCCTCTTAGAGATGCTGTAGGCCAGCAAGGCAACGTTGTTGTTCGCTGCGGCTGTCTGGAATGAGCACTGGTGAGCTCGGTTGGAGACCTTTTCACCATCTGGTCATGCTTCCCTGGAGGGACAGGTTGCTGGTCCATCCTGGAAGCTTTTGCCCCAAGTGCCAGGGAGGGGTGGGGTGGGTGTGGGGGTGGGGGGTTGTTACCGAGGGAAAAACACAGATCGGTAAAACCCTCCACTCTGGAGATGGAGGCGAAGGTGGAGACGGATGTCTTCAGCTTGCTGGGCCCAGCTGCAGCCTCGTTCCAGTGTGACGTCACAGCTGGACAGCGAGGCCTGATGGGCTGATGGGGTCAGGGTGACGAGCTGGGGTGGAGCCAACCTTGCTGCCAGATCATCCGATCAGGGTGGAGGGAGGCAAGGGACAGAAAGTCCCTTGTGTTAACATCCTCCTGGATTATGCTGGGCAGCTCCGAGAGGAAGGCGCCGACAGCTGGAAGCGGTGTTTGCGAACGTGGGAAGATCCGAGGTGGCTGAGCATCCGCTCGGCCACTCGTCTTCCATCACTACGCTCTCCAGGAGGGAGGGGGCAGCTCCGCATCGCCTTTCTCGGAGGAATCATTTGATTCACTTTGTTACTCTGCGTCAAAGAAGGCGGTGGCATCATCCCGCGCATAGCGTCCCGCCACAGAAAAAAAATTCAGCTGCTAACAACGCCTTTTTCGAGGGAATCATCCGATTCACCTCGAGAAAAAAACACGTTAGACTAGGCGATGGCGTCGTCCAGCGGGTAGCGGCCCGCCACGGCAAAGCACTCCTTGGCGTTTACCTTGAACAAGGCTGCTCGTCTGCTTCTCCTTGGGGAGGAGGAGCTCACTGGGACGGCAGGAGTTTGGCATTGCGGAGACCCAGGCATCCTTAGCAAAGGTTGTGCCGGTCAAGGCTGGACAACTTTTCCTTCTTTGCTTTTCTGACAGTGCTAGCTAGCTGGCTGAAGAAAAAATGGGAGCCGATTACCCGGTCTCACCGTAATTTATACGGACCGGGGGTGAGGCCCACACACAGCAGGTGGGCGTGGACTAAAGTTTTCAGTGCTGCGCCGAGCGCCTAGGGATAAACCCCCTAGTGACAGTCTTAAAGGGCGAAGCCTATACAAAATAGAACTGTTTACTTTATTTTTTGTGCCCCCCCTGCAAAAGCTTTGGCCACCCCTTGCATAAAAGTCTAGCTAAGCCCCTGCATTGGTTTCCCTAATTTCAGCATTGGACATAGAAAGCTGGACTGATTTGAGCTTTCTGTTCGATATAGTTGGTATAACAGGATGATGGGGTGAGATGAAGGTAAACAGTCTGACCTCTATTTTTTATACTCTTCACAAAAAACAAAAGAGTTAAAATAAACATTTGAACTTTCTTTCAAAATTCAAGCGAGTATATAATCCATTGTTATTAAAATGCAACATATTAATTAAGAACAGTACTATTTTTAGTGGTCTTCAAGAAATTAAAGAGTAATTTGCCAAAATAAATTTGCTTGTAAAATGTTAAATTGTTTACATAAAAACATCTTTGTTACAGGAGGTTGAATCTTTTTGTTTCTGTTTGTAATGACATTTAAAAAAATTAATTCCTTCACTAAATGTGCCCAGAAAAAGTTTTTTTTTGAAAGAGAAACACATTTGGGGCAACATAAAGTTTTCACACACATTTCATCTTTTCTGCATAAATGTAGCAGTTATTAAAAAGGATAAATAAAAAATATACATATTTTAATGACTCACCATGAAAGAGCAAAAGGAAACAAAGTATCTTCATTTTGATGTTTAATGTTGTTGCGTGAGGTGAGCTGTCAGAAGGCTGAAGAGGTGGACTGCGGGGGTTTAGCTTCCTGGATGTGTGGTTTACATGAACATCTTTATTGCTGTGATCTGAACACACTTTCAAATGCTTGTTCAGTAAACCTGCTTAAGTCTTGGTAAGGTTCCACAATCATCTTACAACAAGTTCTACCTCATTTAAATATTTATACAAACCCAATCCTACACAGCCTCTTTGCACATGCTTTTTCTCACATGCACTGCACTCTGATGAGCACATTGGAGAGCAGCAGTGCTGTAGTCTACATTTTTGTAATGTGTATACTGTGCTAGAAACCAAAGTACACCGGTTAGTACAATGCAATTGTTAATTTATATTGATTTTTAAGCGTATTGAACATTTCAAAATTTCTCTGAAGCTTTTACAGTATTTGAATAAATATACAACAAACTTTGTACAAGAGTTGACTTTGTATTAAAAACATATATTTGTATCTATATTTTTATTTTATGTTTTCCTGTCCGCTGTGCTTGTTTGTTTCTATTGTACAGCACTTTGGTTGGCCTTGTTGCTGTTTTAAGTGCTCTATAAATAAATTGGTATGGTATGGTATATAAAATCTATAAAACAGTATCAAAGCAAAACATGTTCAAGTATTAAGTAGTAAGTACAGAAGTATTAATTAACCTAGTAAAGAAACTGAAAGTTAAACTGGGTTTCTTTTTCAGAAACAGATCTTGTCTAACTCTGAATGCTAAGAAACGCCTTGTATCTGTGACCTTCCTTCCCTCCATTGACCACGGTGACATTATTTACATGAACGCTCCTACAAGCACCCTGCAGATGTTGGATGCTGTCTATCATGGTGCACTAAGATTCATAACTGGCTGTGATTATCGTACCCACCACTGCACCCTGTATTCACTGGTTAACTGGACATCATTAACTTCATGAAGACTCTCCCACTGGTACTTTTTCATCTTTAAATCACTTCTTGGTCTGCTGCCTTCATACATCTCCTCCTACATGTCTCTGCGTGAGTGCAGCTACAGCGTGCGCTCTCAGGACATTATTATATGCAGTGTTCCCTCAGTGTGGACTGAACTAGGCAAAAGGGCCTTCTCCTACTCCGCTCCTGTTTCCTGGAATATCTTACAAAAAGACCTGAAGCTCTCGACCTTGACCTCTCTAAGTGGCTTTAAAAATCTGTTAAACTCCTGGCAGGGACCAATGCAGACATGTTCCTGTTTGTAGTTTTCTACATTCGCCTTATAATCTAGCTGTTTTTTATGCTTTTTTGCCATCTTATTTGTAAAAAAAAAAATATATATATATGTATGCCTTTTTATAACTGTTTATTGATGTCGCTGTTGTCCATTGTTGTCATCATTCTTTGTTGAAATCAGGTCTCTCTTGTAAATGAGTCCTCGAGGCTCAATGGGATTTACCTGTAGAAATAAAAGTTGAATGAACTGAACGAAGGAAACTACAAAAAACAGGTTGAACAAACTCACTGTGTCTATAAAATGTTCCAAATGAGTTGAGAATGACATGAGCCCATGTCATGTATCATTGTCAGTGATACATGACGTGGACTCATGTCTTTGGGAACTTGTAGGTGGGTATACTGAAATTCCCAGGCTTTTCTAATGGGTATACTCCATATACCCGCGTATTGACTACACCACTGGAGAGCCGGTGGTGTTGGTGTTTTGTTTGCGCCCCTACATGAGCCTCCTTCATTGCTTCATCACAATTACGTCACATATTTATTTTATAAGTTCTATCATTGCATTAGTGCTTTAAAATGCAGTTTTCCACATTTTGTGAGGTCTCAGTTTCACCTTAACTCTCAGAGGTTTTTTTTTTGTTGTTGTTGTGTAGATGTTTACCTGCTGTGTACCTGGTGTACCTTGTGTGTTTTATGAGTTTACACTCACTGACAAGAAACATAAGCACCCAGACAGAGTGGGGTACATTAAATTAAGCTATGTATACTGTAAGGTTGTGTGACTGCATCAACTCATTTAATAGAAGCAACCAAGAAGCAAAATATATAGTAATCCTAATCCTGCAGAGAAGGGCGGATCTATCTATGGATCACAATGCACAGAGCTGACCATTCATCAGTCTTATGGCCTGGGAGAAAAAGCTATTCAAGAGAAAGAAAATGTGGTGAACGGGGTGTGTGTGTGTGTGGGGGGGGGGGGGGGGGGATGATGGAGATAGCTTGACGGATGCAACACTGTTGGTAGTTCTCCATGAAGAAGAAGGTCACCAGTGATCATGCTGGACGTCTTCACAATCCTATTCCACTGCTTTTCCTCGTAGCTCTTACAGCTACCGAACCAGGCCATGAGTCCGTGAGTGAAGCTGCTTTCAATGGTGCCCTGTAGAAGATGGTGAACGAGCAGGAGGAAGACCTGCCTTCTTCAATTTCCGAGGGCAAAGCTGCTGTTGTTCTTTCCAAATGACTGCAGTGGTGAGGTCATCGTCAGCAAGATGAACCCCAGGGACTTCATATACTGCTGACCCTCTTCACAATGGACCTATCAATCAATAACAGTAAATGGAGTTGTTTGCCAACCCTCCTGAAATCGATCACCAGCTCCTGGCAGTACAGTCATGTGAAAAGACAGGACAGCAGGAGGCTCAAAACACAGCCTTGTGGGGAGTCTGTCCTCACTGTGATGGTTCTAGATGTGCAGCTGCCCACCTTATCTGTCTGCTGCTGCTTTGTGAAAATGTCCAAGACCAAGTGTCCACCTTTAGTCAACTCAGTTTTTCCACCAGCTGCTGTGGAATGATGGGACTGAAGGCTGAGCTGAAGTCTATGAGGGCATTGACACAAGTGTTTCTCTGCTCCAGATGTGACAATGTAAGGTGGAGTGTCCTCTGCAGACTGATTAGGTCTATAAGCGAACTATAGTGGGTCCAGATTTGCGGGGAGGAAATCCTTGATATGTTGCATAACCAACTGTTCAAAACACTTCATTACCACGTGTGTCAGGGCCACAGGTTGGATTTGTTTTGCTTTTTGGGACTGGACCGTTTGAGGCAGGGGGTCACCACTGCCTGCCTGAGAAAGGTGTTAAAATGTTAAAAACCTGTCCATAGATATTATCTGGCCCTGCAGCTTTGCGCCGGTTGATCCTCATGAAGGTCATTTTCACACCAGCTGTAAACATCTGGAGCACCTGATCTTTGGACTCTGGTGGGAGTATTTGTTTCTGTGTGGTATTTTCCCCTCAAACCATGCATCTATTTTAGTTCATCTGGTAGAGATGAGTTCTTAAAGTATAAATGTGGGGGTGTTGGTTTTTTATGCAGTAATCATGTTGAAACCTGGCACAAGTTTAGTTTCGGTGCATTCAGCCATCTTGCTTACCTGATCTGTCGGGACAAAAAGTTTATGCCTCTTCATCTCCAGATTTAAAAGCAACATTCTAGGCCTTCAGAAGTAGATGTACTTCCCCATACAGCCATGGGTTCTGGTTGACATGCCTCTTGGTGGTTTTTACCACTATCACATTATCTGTACACTTGATGATGTAGCTGATAACAGAGTCAATGTATTGTTGAAGATTAATAATACTATTATTATATGCTGCTGCCTCCCTAAAAATGGACCACTGTTGTCTCAAAAGGGTCTTGCAGAGCTGCAGTGACCTCATGTAGCTGTGTCCTGACTTCTCTGACCACTGCCCTGGCCTGGTTCACCCAGTATCTGAATATTGTGATCATAACAGCCATGTGGTCTGAGCTGCCCTCCTGACGGAGGGGTACTGCACTGTAAGTCTTTAATGTTCATGTACACCAAATCTAATGTGTTTGTTGGAGAAATTCTCTCATTCACTAACGCTGTTTACTCAAAAGAACCACAACTCACGGCAAGAGAAGATTTTTAAAAGGTACAATATTTTACTTGCAAAGACTGCATTCAGGACATATTACACATGTAACCCAGACAAATATTTTAGTGCGTGGATTAAATTCATGAAATATGTGACAGTTTAAAGAAAATTTTAAAACTCTTTAAGTTAAATATGTTGTAAATATAGCTACAATTGTATTTCATTTATGTTGTAAAATGCTTAAAAACTGCTTAAAATACACAAACATAAGTTAAAAGCAAGAAAAATATAACATTTTGTTGATGTATTTGATTTCTGCTTTATTGTGAAAAGCCAAAGGAAGTGTGAGCAGTCAGTGGGTACAGCTTGATGAGAGTGACTGGAAGCCAGTCACACCAGAGGCAACAGGTGCTGCAGCTTTCAGTAATTAAATGTTTCCTGATTGTTAACACAGTGATTGGTCATGGACACTTGTTTGATGGTTATTGGGAGAAAAATTGACATTTCAGCTTGAATCTAAAAAAGTTAAATCTGGTCCTCTGGACATTCAAAAAAAAAAAAAAGCAAATCAACAAAAAAATGTAGAAACGTTTCGTCTCTCATCCGAGAGACTTCCTCAGTCTGAGG